GGCTGTTTCTGAAGTTTTTTGTTCAATGATAGTGACTTTTAAATCTGTAATAGAATGACCAGGGAGACTGAAGTGTTCACTTACTGGCTTATGTATGTTACCATTCCTGATGTCCGATTTATTCTTTTGCGGAGGGACTGTCCGGTTTGGCCAATGTACATGGCAGAGGGGCATTGCTGGCACATGATGGCATATATAACATTAGTGGATGTGCAGGTGAATGAGCCCTTGATGGTGTGGCTGATGTGGTTGGGTCCTCCGATGGTGTCGCCAGAGTAGATAGGGGGACAGAGTAGGTAATGAGGTTTGCTACAGGAATTGGTTCCTGGGTTGGTGTTTCTGTGGTCTCAAAGAGAAACAGCAGAACTAAAATTCATTTGCAAATGAATTGACACCACCTCATCTATTATTGGGAGTGGACTACATCCACTCTGATTGAATTGGCTGTCAACACTGGTTCTCCATTTGCGAAGTAACTCCCTGCTCTCCATGTGTCAGTATATAAGGACTGCATCTGTAACTTTCACTCTATGCATCTGAAGAAGTGAGTTTTTACCCACGAAAGCTTATGCCCAAATAAATCTGTTAGTCTTTAAGGTGCCACCAGACTCCTTGTTGTCACTGTTTGGGAATAACATCACACTACTACTGTTTTTCCTCTGCTTTTGCAAGGATGTAGTAACTGCAGTAGTAGCTTAATCAATACTGACTTCTTACTGGCTTCCACTATATTCACTGGGAATTAATCCCTTTCATCTGGTTTGTAAATGGCAAGAAGAAAATTTGGTTTGATTTAGATATACATTTTGGCAGGTTAATCTTAAATTTTAATGTAGGTTGCTTAGCTGCCTCATCACAGGCACCATATCAGCATATTAATTTTTAAAAAATATTCTCTAATCTATTATTGAGTGTATTTTCTGTTACCTGGTATACTTAGATTTGCTACTACTTACACTGTAAACCCAGCAGAAACAAAGTAATATTCCTATTTAGCATTTTCAGAATTAACAAAACAAAACAAAAAAAAGTTTGTTGAACAGTCTAGGTTCCTCAGGGTAGGTGTTACTTGCCTTGTTTTGAATCAAATAAAAGTGATTTTTACATGATCCTGTAAACTGTCTGAGCATACCTTAAATGGCAGTTTTGCTTAACAACTTTCAGATATACAGTAATTTTGATCTGACAGCAAATGCTTTCTACTAAAAAATTATACTACTACCATTTACATTCAATTTCCATTATTTTATGGTAGGCTAAACAACTGAAGAATACTTCTTATGTTCTCCTTCCTCCTCTCTCATTAACGAATAGTATTATGCACAACTTCTAACAAGTACAGGGGTTAACCGTACTTCTTCCGTCATCATATCAGTTTGATAACATCACAATGTGAAATGGGTGTGCACCTTTTCTTTCCCAGTGGAATGAGTTACAGAAATAAAGAGAATTATTTAGGTATAAACACTAGAATGCATGATAGGAACCATCACAATTAACCACAATGTTACATTCTACTGTCTATTTAAAGTTTGCAGAGATAAACCATACACTGCATTCTGATTTAAACAAACTATAAGGAGTATACAAAACATCAGTATTACCTGTATATTAGCACCCAAAAAATTAAAATAATGAAGTAATGTGAAATTTCTGTTTGGATCACATAACAGTGGCAATATTGTAATCTAAAATTGGATCTTTTAACACTAAACTGGACAAAGTGTTCAAAAAGAATACTGTAAAGAAAACAACTGCATTGGGAGGAATCTAGACTGGATGACGTAATAGGTCTTTTCCATCTCCAACTCCTGTTATTTTAATCCTGTCAGAGACTTTTTTCCTTTGGTTGATCGCATAGTTTATAGAGAGCAAACCAAATTTATCTGTCTTTGTATATTAAACTTTAAGCCCAATCCTACTCTCATATCAGTTAACAGGAACTTTGCCACCGACTTCAGTGGAACCAGCACGAGGTCTATATTTCACTATTCATAAATTTTGCATGCTAGACTCCATCAGATTAATTAAGATTTGTACAGCTATATCAATGACAGTACTGTACTTCCCGCATGTCTAGCAGGGATGTGTGTTTTACTGCCTACACATTCAAAATCATGAGGCATGTACACCTCTCTGATGAGCAATGCACAACTGATTTTGAGCCAGAGTGTAAGTGATAAAGTTGCTGGGAAAAAGCTAAAAGTCTGGTATGTTCCTTTTCATGGTTCCTAAGTCTCGAGGGAAAGAGCTAGGCATTGCCTATGCTTGAAGGTAAGGGGAAAATTTACATCATTTACTAGGTGTGAGAGGTATTTATTACTACTTCCTTATTGGATAAATGTACACTATGAATAACACTTAAACCCCCCCAGAATTCTGCATGTATCTCTATATAAGTATCACAAAGACTCTCTTACTGTTCCAGGCATATGACCTCTTTCTTGTTTGCCATTCTGAGGACTACCATTTTTCAGCTTTTTCTTCTTCTTCACTGTTTCTTTGTGTTCTCTCTGTTTGTTTTGTACTTCGATGAGGACAGAAATGAAGCTATTTTTCACTTCCTTTTCAAACTCCAGCTCATCCCTTAGAGCCAACTGCTGTACCAGCTCCTCAGAATAATCCTTAATGGCAGTCTCAATTTCTTCTAGTAGTTCATTTAGTTCAGCGACAGACAGTTTTTGTACTTCTGTTAGAAAATAAAGACAAAGTGAGAGTATGTTCTGCATAATGTAAAAAAAGCAGTGTCAGTTTTTTAGGCATGGGGAGATTATCAACAAAAAGGATTTTTAATCATCCCAAGAGTTTTGATAATTTACACTTCCACCACCAAAAAGATGCCATAAAAAATTCTAACACAAAACACACTATGTGCTTCGTGGGGATACAAGTTCACCATGAGCTTTTTTTAGGTTCGCTATTAAAATATGAAAATAACCACAGCTTTTTGATTACTCCAGAACTTGGTGCAAAGTTATACATAATTTGCAAATACAGGATGACAACTATCCCTAAAGTGTGGTGAAGCTGCACAAGAACCATCTCCTGACATGACAATCTTGCTATCTATCAGTTTATGTCTATTTCTCTCTCTCTGAAAAGCTATTGAAAAAGTTATGGCAGGACAACCCATGGTCATTTCTGGAGTCTGCACATTTCAGGCCTTGTATGATCAAGAGCTCTACTGGGTGATGAAATTCTAACTATGGATTCTGTTGCTGATTCTTTTAAATCCACAAGAAGCTTATGTAACCAGTGATCACAAGATGTTGCCGACATCTGCAAACTGTAGGAAGAGTGGATGAGTCACTCAACTGGCTTTGCTCCTTTCTTACAGATCCCACACAGTAGTTTTGGGCAACTGCTCATTTGCTCCAAGGATTCTCACAACAGCCTACTTGTTCACCCTGAACAAGGGTGGTGACAATCAGATCAGTGGAAGGCTAGTAAGAAAATAGGGCTGTGATATATTTAGCATGACAACAATACACAGCTCCGTGTCTCTTTCTTCTCTGTTCAGGCTCCGTGGTGGGGAATGGATGATTTCATGTCTCTGAAATAGGGACTAGATCAGTGGTTCTCAAACTTTTGTACCGGTGACCCCTTTCACATAGCAAGCCTCTGAGTGCGACCCCCCCCCTTATAAATTAAAAACACTTTTTTATATATTTAACACCATTATAAATGCTGGAGGCAAAGCGGGGTTTGGGGTGGAGGCTGACAACTCGCGACCCCCCATGTAGTAACCGCGTGACCCCCCTGAGGGGTCCCGACCCCCAGTTTGAGAAGCCCTGGCTAGATGAAGGCTAGATGACACTCAAACCAGACAAGAAAGAAGTGATGTTGGGTCAGCTGTGGGGAGTATCAAAATACAATAGTGAAAGTTATACGGGATTCTTGACAGAGGGAGCATGTCCACCATTTGCAACACAACTTTGCCTTTTAGAGTATTGTTAGCTCCCAAGTGGCTCAGGTAGTAGGTGTGACAAAAAGGAATCAGCAGACATGTTCAGATTAAAGCCTGCTTGATTTAAAAGGGAAGATGCTGATCAACGGATATTCTCCATGAGCATTCTGGCTGTAGAATCCACTCCCGCACCTAAGTTTGCCAGAGCTGGGATTTGTTACCACCTAGACATGCCACAAAGCCCGTTTTTTCCCATTGGCATTTGGGGAGCAGGTCAAAGAGGGGACCTGAAGAATATGATACATATAGTGTGATGAACGAGATGGATATTATTGTGTGGTCAGGTTCAATTATCAAATATTTTGTAGATTTTATATTGTTGCAAAATTGTTTTAAGGATGTTAAACTGCCACCCCTATAGATAGGTGCTAAAAAAATTAAATATATCTACAAGTACAACTCCCGCAAGTAGCAGAGGATATAACTGAAACGTGATTTAATTTCTTCAATCACCCAGTAGGAAAATTAGACTGGAGCTAGCTCTTCTTCACTCCCTTGCTAAGGGGGAAATCATCAGCATTACTGTGGATGGCTATTCATACTGGCAAGGGACTAAGGGGCAATCTTTACATCCTCAGAGAAGCTTAAGCCTCAACCGACTTTAAAATCTTAAAGCAATTTAGGTTTAACCCTTAAGAAGACTTTAAAGTGGTTCAAACTGCCAAAGGCCTTTAAAACTGTTTAAGGTGCTTATAGCACTCTACATTTTCAGCACGTTGGCTGTGGCCTCTACTTAGAATCATAGAATTGCAGGACTGGAAGAGACCTCGAGAGATCATCTAGTCCAGTCCCCTGCACTCATGGCAGGACTAAGTATTGCAGACCATCCCTGTCTTGTAGCATAGCATCTTGGTTATGTCATGGTCAATCAGTTTCTGAATAACTTGGTGTCCCAATGTGTCAAAAAAAATTGCAGGGATGTAAACATTCAGTAAAATCAAGTCTGATTGTCAGTGCTGGCAAAACAAACATGCCAACCTAGGTCAAGGCATTCTGATGATGTAAATGGCAACTAGAAGAGAGTGAAGTTCTCAAATGCAGATTAATTCTGAAATTGCTTTGCAACAGAAGAAACTGAGGTAATAACCGCTTTCTGTTGGGCAATGACCTTAGAAGATGTCAGAGTAGATTCTGAGGAATTGGCAAAGCAAAACTAAATGATTTTTTCAGGCAAACCAAGGCATCAGTTGGTCAAAGCTGACTGTTAATCCATAAAACAAAATGAACGACAGGAATAACTGATAAGGAAGAGCAAAAATAATAGCATATGAAATACAAAACAACGCTGAATATCAAAATGTCTCTGAGAACACCTGAATCTTTTGGAAAATGTGGAAACCTTACTTAATAGGCTTTGAAGTCTATGCCTTGGATTCCCCATCTCTGAAATACAGATTTTGAAGCCTCAGAGCAGTGGTTCTCAAATTTCATTGCACCACGACCCCCTTCTGACAACAAAAATTACTACACGACCCCAGGAGGTGGGGGGGAAAAGGGGGAGCGAAGCCTGAGCCCACCCGAGCCCTGCTGCCCTGGGCAATGGGGGCCCAAAGCCAAAGGGCTTCAGCCCCAGGCAGTGGGGCTCGGGCTTCAGCTTTGGGCCCAGACCCCAGCAAGTTTAATGCCAGCCCTAGCGACCCCAGTAAAATGTTTGAGAACCGCTGCCTTAGAGAATGCTGCCTGGGATTGCCAGAGACCAGCCAGGACAGTACAGTTTGCAGTCTAAGTTTGATATACACTAAAGACAGTGAGTTATCTTGCCAAACACCAGGTAGTTTTGTGGAGAGGCTTTGGACAATACAGACCCAGAAAGCAGAAGTGAGACTGCTGTCAAAACATTCTAAATCCAACGAAAACCAGAATGATGTGGTGACATGTCTTTTCCCAGAGGGCAGTTTTGAAGCGTAAGCCAGCAAAGCACAATCTTCAGGGGCATAACTTAAGTCTTTTTAGCCAAGAGTTTCATTTAACTGCCATTCAGTATATCATGGTCACACTATAAATGTGAACTCTCCTAAGTCTTCCTTTTTTGCAAGACAAAGAAGGGAATCTAGTATTTTCCTTTGCCACAGAATAAAAGAAACAGTTACTTACTGTAACTGTGGTTCTTTGAGATGTGTTGCAGACATGTTTTCCACTTAGGTGTTTGTGCTCCTAGTGTGCCAGAGCCTTTTGCCTTAAAATACTCAGAGGGGCGGCGCTCGTGCCTCGTGGCCCCTCCCCTGGCTATGAGGCAGTGCCGCCCTCACCCCTGCCAGTTCCTTCACGCCGAAATCCCATGAGAGGAGACTCCTATGCAGAGGGGAAGGAGGGAGGGTTGTGGAATACACGACTGCATCACAGCTCAAAGAACTAAAAGTAATTTATTTTTCGAGTAGATGCAGATGTGTATTCCACTTAGGTGACTCAAGTAGTATCCCAATCCGGAGGCAGGGCTTGGAGTCTTCTGAAATAGGGATCGCAGGACCACCCTTGCAATGCCTGGGTCTGCTCTGGAAGATGCAGTAAAATAGCATAATAGTCATCCATACATATGTTTACGGACCATGTGGCTGCCCTGCAAATGTCCAGTTTGGAAATGTCACCAAGGAACACTATCAACGTCGCTTGTGCCCTTGTGGAGCGAGACCTGACGAGGAGGCGTAGCTGAAGCTCTGTCATACGCAGTCTTAATACAGGATGTTATCCATCTAGAGATGGTCTATGCTGAGACCGCTTGCCCTTTCATGTGGTCTGCATATGACATGAACAGACAAGGCAAAACACCAAACAGTCTAGTCCTGTCTAAAGCTAGACATTGCCAGACATCCAGAGTATGGAGGTGCTGTTTCTTTGGGGAGGAATGTAGTTTAGGGAAAAAACAGATAAATATGCCTCCTGATTCAGATGCAACGGAGAGACCACCCTGGATAAAAACTTCAAGGGTGGTCACAACGTTACCTTTTGCTTGGAGTATTGAGTGTAAGGCAGCTCAGCCATCAGAGCCTGCAACTCTCACACCCTTCCTGCCGATGCGATGGCTATCAAGAATGTGGTTTTCTGAGACAGGAGGGGCAGTGGACAGGATGTAAGAGGCTTGAATGGAAGGCCAATCAGATCCATCAGAATCGTGTTTAAGTCCCACAGGGGGACCAGATCCCAATCTGGAGGATGGAAGTGGAGAAGCCCTTTCAGAAAACTTGACACCATGTCATTGGAAAAAACTGACTTCCCTTAAATAAGGGGATGAAATGCTGATATTGATGCCAAATGCAATTTCAGTGAACTGAGCGCAAGGCCCAATTTCTGAAGATGTAGTAGGTACTCCAAGATGTCCTGGATGGAAACCCCAGTCAGTTTGGGTCCCACACACCCCAAGAACCTCTTCCACTTCACTAAGTAGGATATCCTTGTGGAGGACTTCCTGCTATTGAGTAGGGCTTGCTGGCCAACCACCGAGCACTGCTCTTCCTCTTCATTCAGCTAAGTAACACCCACACCCTAAGGTGCAGGGAGCTGACCGCAGGATGGAGGGTGTGGCCGTAGCTCTGAGTGAGCAAATTGGGGTGGAGAAGCAGCATTATGGGAAACTGAACTGACAAAGCAAAGAGGTCTGGAAACCTTGGCCACCCTAGAGCAATTAGGATGAGCTTGGCCTGATCCGCCTTGAGCTTGAGGATGACTTAAGGAATAATCAGAGTAGGGAGAAAGGCATACAGAAGAGCTGACTGCCAGCTGCAGTT